CAAGTTCTGTGCTTTAACATGGGAAAAACAGCAAATGCAGACAAGATGCAAGTCGGTGTTCTTAAACAAACCCTGACGTATACTATTTAATGAAAGCTTCAATACAAAAGAATAAAAGAAAAGAATTTCCTGGTCTAAGTTTCAGCAGCCTTCTGCACACTGAAACCAAATTAATTTAATATTAAACACATTAGAATTACGAACTCTTACCATTTTTTTCTTGTTTTTCCGAGTTTATCTGAAGAACAGTTGGGATGTCAGTACTAATATGGAACTCGATTTTTTTATGACCTACATGCTGTGGCTGCTCAAAGACATCTGAAGGTGACAGTGTAGGGTGCAAACTACTGTTTAAAACAACACCATGTTAATTAAAGATTCAGACACTGACGAATGCATTGTCAAATACAGGATTTCTCCTAGATAGATTTTATGTTGTTGTTTACCACAAATACATGAGTTCTCAATTTCATCAATTTCACCCAATACAGTTCAAGTTGATTAAAACACTGCAAATACAGTAGGTATGGCTGGCAGCAAGAGCAAAACCAAGAATTACATACCACATTACTGTATAGACAGGCATTTATGAAAAGTTTTATCAGTAACTTAAATATGAAAAATAACTGACCTTGCTGCTGCTCTGACAGTGTACAAAATATATCAAATTTTAAAAAAAATATAGCAAATAAATTGGAGGAAGAAGGCAGCTTAGTAAAAATGCATTCACAATTGATCATCACTATATAGAAATACTACACTGGTGTCTAATGTGCCATAGTAACGCAGTATCAAAAAACAAACTTATTTTAAACCAAATCAGTCTTTATTCTTTTAGTATCATCTTTTTCTTTATTTTAAATTTTTATTTTAAGAAGTACCCCAAACAATAAATCCAGATTGCTTCTGTTGGGGAGGTGATATTAAATGTTTTTTCTTTTTTATGAAAAAGGGATTTTTACTAGTTTGATAGCAAGAGAAACATAGAGCTTGAACTAGGTACACTTTACAGATTAAGGTTGTTAGGTAGACTTGAGCTCAAATTACACAAAAATTCGGACCTTTAGAGCAATAAAACCAAGCATGAGGGTAAGAGAAGACCAACTCCACTACCAAATTTACCTACCAGTGAAGAATGCTTGTTTTAAAACAGCAACACTAAACCAAACATGATACAGAGAACACCATTTAGTAAAAGGAATAATCTTCTGAAAAAGTGCAAAAACCACAGAAACAATACAAACCTGTGGGGAGTACACACGGGAACATTCAGTAAGTCTTTAATTCTTTGCTTTTTTCTAACACCACGCCTCTTTGTGTTTATTGGTCTTTTAGGTTGAAGAGTTGCTAATTCCATCAACTTGTTCATTCTATTTTAAACAAAATTTTTAAAAAAACTAAAGTGATTTACAGTTCACTTGAAAATACTCATTCTGAAAACCCTTCCCCCTTCTTTAAAGCCCTTGAAATACAACTTTTCAGAATATGGTTATAAATCGTAGCTATGCCAAGACTGAAACTACATTAATAAACTATAACACATAGCAAATTGATATACACAGAGAACTTAAGTGACCAATCAAAATGGTAATGAGTTCAATGATGCCACTTCCTTCCCCAAGGATGCACCTAATTAGGACACTGAAGCTGTAGAAATGCTAAGAAGTCCCAAGCTGAATCTTTCTTTATAATACTATTTCCACTCAACAGGAGTCCCTTTTTCCAAATGCATGCATTTTTCCCTGAATATAGCATAGGGACTTTCTGATTTACTTTTCAGTTTAAACAGCAAATAAAGAAAATTGTTTCTTCATTTAGTATTAGTTTAAAGATTAAAGAAAAAAACAGCTATGATGTAATTCAGTCCCAAAACCGCAAGAGAATCCTCAGCACACACAATCTCCCATTATTACTCTTAGCAATACACACTAATGTAAAAGAACATTTTGGAATTCAAAGCGCACATATGATTCAGGCTGAGTTTACTCAGTAAAGATGTGGAAAAATGAAGAATCCAGAAAACAATCTAATTATTGTTTCCTTATATCTGCACTCTCTCTTCATTCTGAGTTTTCGTTTTGTTAGCTTTTTGGGTTTTTTGGACATGGGAACAAATGGTAATTTGCATACCATTGAGCCATTTTCCTTCTCTTACTGTGATACAAAACAGCACTGTTCTAAGTCACTCTGGAGCTTCCTTAAGCATCTGGAAAGATTATCTATATACTGCAAATGTTAACAGATTCCACCATGTGCTGAACTACAAGCTAGAAAAGTAAAAGCACCACTTTAAAAGAGCCAAAAAACTTGCAAATGACTGTAAAATGCATACCTCTCCTTTTCCTCCTCATTATCACTCTCATATTCTGATTCATCTCCACTAGATAATTCCTCTTCGGGTAAAGGAGGCTCTTCAGGAGGCAGAGGTGGGATTGGGGGAGGTGGCACAGGCACTGGTAAATACTCTTCATACTAATTATGGGGAAAAAGTAAGAAAGTAACCAAACGTTTTAAGAAAAAAATTGCATTCCTTGTTTTCCTTTACTGAATAAAAACAGTCAAAGCAATAAATTAGAAGATGACAAGAAGCATTTTTTTTAAAGTATGTTTCTAGGGATCTAGATGTTATTTTGCTAAACTACATTACTAATTAAAACTTTCCACAAGAAAAAAAATTTGCTGCTTTCTGAAGCATTAACAGTGAACGTTTTCATTCTTTTAATTTGAGGAGTCAAAAAAAAAAATAAAAAGCACAACCACAGCCCTGATTTTTCACTTTGCACTCAGCTTTGAGGACTTTCCTGAGAAGAATATGGTCAAAACATATAGGAGGAGGAGGCCTAAGCTCCCACGCCATCTCAGTTTCTACACTGAACCTTCCACCACCTATCAAAGTTACATTTCCATTTCTGTAAGGAGCGAGGATTTCAAGGAAACATTTTTTTCCACTGAGACTGCAAAAACCACATATAAGGAATTTCCTACATACAAAATCATCTCCAGCCCCACTTTCAACTATCTTACTATACTCAACAGCTACTTTTATGTACCATCAATTCCATAAGGCACTGATGTCTTATAGCATTAGAAGTCTTCTGTGCCCTTTAGAAACTGCTCTAGGAATTTTGAGGACTGTCTTCTCACTTACTACTCTTTTAGGTATGACCATTACATTCACAGTGCTTAACCTGGCCCAATACCAGGCAGCAAATAAAATTATATCCAGAAAATCACTGTGAATTTATTTATTTGATAGATTTATTTCATGGTTTTCTTTACCAGCTAGCTCCCCTGTTTTTAGAAGCACGTGTTCTGTTAGGGCAAACACAAAGTGTAGTGGAGCACAACTTCACTATATCCAAATACTGTAGCTATGCAAGTGTTCACCTGCTCTGTCTTCCACTGGCAGTCAGTCAAACTACTCTATCACAGCAACACACAACCAACACCACAGAGCTGTATTTTCTATTTCCCTTCAGAAACAGCTCCCCCTAAGCCTCTGCCAGTTTCCCTCAACCCTGCCTCTTTCAGAAAAGATCCTGGAGACAGAGCAACTTAAATCCAAAAGTGTTGTATCATCTCATCAACCATGTGAAACTAGTCAGAACTTCAAAGAAACACACAGATCAAAGAACTTAACACATCTTTGTAAGGCAACAGGCTAACAGTATTCTTTATTTCCCTTATTTGTAACATGATGCTATAACCTCCCTTTTTTTAATACTCAACAGTTTTAAGTATTCCAGTGCTACTGTGATACACGTTTATTTCTTTGTTCTAAGTATAGTTAAAAAGATTTCTTTAGAAGACTAACATGCACATCTTACCCAATGAAATGCAGTAGTATTTGCTATCCTGCAGAGATTTCTCCAACTTTTAGAAGCTTGAACTTAGCTTTCCTACCGTTTTGCAAACATTTTAAATTGTGAATCTGTTTTACAGAACTTAAAACATATACCAAAAAAGTTACCATTGGAGGGCGAGCAGTAATTGGTCCAAAAGGTGGAGGAAGATTCATTTTATTCATAAGATGAAGTACCTGAAATTATTCAAGATAAGTAAGATTTCCTTTCAATAAATAAATAAATGAATGAAAGAAAACAGTTCCTTGCTAGGTATCAGAGCCGATCGCATCTGGCAGGTGTTAATCAGCCTAGTTTTAATGAAGATGCAACTACATTGGTTATTAAACAACGTGAAAGCCTGCACCTGAGATCCAACACTAGCGGTAAATATGAGCAACAGCCTAAAAAGGCTTATCAAAAAAAGTAAAGCATCTTCTCAAGAATGAAATTCCAAGTACTTAAGTTACATCTACTCAGGAAGATCATACTCGGTTAAGTCTTCAGTGTCAATGAAGTAAGTTACTTTTGGTCAATAAATCTTCTTATCTCAACTCAGGAAAAAATTAACATTGGTTAACACTATCACAGGAAAATTAACTTAATATTTACTATGACAAAAATTATTACTGTAGATAATTAAAAGAGGAAAAAGGAGATGTTTTTATTTTTAGACTTTTTTTTTTACTTACCTGGACATAAAATTTGGGCACACTTGCCAAGGCATTTGCTATATTTGCTAGAATTGAACTTGAAGGTGGTGGATACAAATATTTGAGGCAAGAATTGATGGGAAAAGTGAGGCTGAGGAAAAAAAAGATTAAAACCAAGACATCTTAGCACCTTTATCATATAATGACAGACAACAATTAATGATTACTAGAGATTTAACTATTCATTACATCTGAAGTGTCACTGAATTATTATTTCCCCTAGAACAGTTTTGGGCCACTTACATTATGTCTTTAACATCAGGGAGCAGTCCCCTAAACGCACAACAGACTTACTGGGCTTGGGCACAGTGAAAGTATTGATACATACAGAAAGCCCAAAGCACACAGAAACAATCAACATGTCCAAAATCAAAAGCACAGCATAGCATGCTGTACAAATATCACAAACTCAATGCTCAAAGCGCTGGATTTATTAGCACAAAAAGAAATTTATTCTTCATGTATGCAAAAATGCAAATGGGGGAAAAAGAACAAGAAACCTCTGGAAAAACAAAAGTCAACAGTACTCTGCTGTTAATACAGGGACAACCTACCCAGTCCTCAAACTCCTGCTAGGAAAGCAATGCATAGTGCTAGAAGGCTATTATGCAATCCACAACTTCACGGCTCAAAGCATCAGCTATTACTCAACTGTGAGGGTTCTAAACTTGAAGAACTAAAGTTTCACCTTTATGACAATTCTTACAGCTATGCATGTAGAACATCAGTGTACTATGAAACAAAACAACACAGCATGCTGTGTTTGCTCGTGTTCAACAGCGCATAACAAATTTCAAAATTATTTTATTCTGTTACAGTTTATTAAGACAAAAAACCCCACTAACCCATGGTTGGGTGCAATTCCATTTTCTATTTTAACACAGCTTGGTTCTTTCTTTTCTTCTTTCACTGGCTCTTCTGAACTGAAAATTAATTTAGCATTAATTAAAACAGGGAAAATCAAAGTGCCTTACATAATATATTCAGTATGTTTAATCTCATCTATTACAAAATAGAAGAAATAATTACTATAGTATTTTTGACATCTTTTAGCACTGGCATTAGCACATTATTAAGAATTAATACATGTGGATCATTATAACAGCCAGACTTCTAAAATAAATATTTATGCAGATTTAAGTAAGTCTGCCTATATTCAAACCCTTCTGACTTAAATTTACTCACAGGAAAATAACTAAAATTATTTGATGTTACTCTCTGTTCAGAAACTGTATAAAATCAAAGGTATTAAATTATTTATTCCACTCTCTGAATATGAACAAATCAATAACTTAAAACCTCTGTAGTTGATTTCAATTAAGCACTGTCACATAGCTTCTATCACTTAGTTACATATTACACAGGTAAACCTGAAAGCCTAACTATGCAACTTATTTTTTAATTAAGTACTTGACAGACAATTGAAACCCAAACTATCACAGTTCGTGGTCACACTAGCATCAGGATTCCTTGATTATTTTTTTTTTAAATTTTTAAATATTACACATTCTTTATTTGAAGAGAGACTCAGACAGTTTTGTGTCTGTTCTGCTCATACTTCAAGCTAGGTAGATGCAAACCAGCTCCAGCTTAGAAGCCAGTGGCTACAATGGCAGTCTTATACAGTTATGCTATCAGGTGTCAATTCTGCCTGACTCTTGATTAGACTAGAAAGAAACATCAGGAAACATTGCACGCATTGTTTAACAGCAAAAGAAAATTATAACCCTGATACACAAAAAAAGTAGAAAAGACTTTTTTAAACAGAGGGAATCTGTGCAACACAGAGGTCAGCTTACACAGACTGGAGTCCTCCTCTGTAAATGAGAACTAACAAGACCATCTGCTGATTAAAGATACTAATAACTATAGGAATAAGTATGGGAATTATTTCATGATGATACTGAACGGAACAATACTAATGGGCGGAATGCAGTCATTTATCTATGGATCTGAACTTGCCTGTTAACACTTTCAAATGGTTAGAATTTATCCTTTGACTTAACAGTACTATGAAACCACCATGAATACAGAATTTCCTTTCCTTGACTACAAACAGAACTAAATTCTTATGCACATACCTTTGACACTTCTCTGAGACAGAAGGCTGGCTAAGCACCTGCACACTATCTTGCTCCTTTGCAAATTCAACAACTAAGGTGTGACCTAAAAGTTTCAGCTGATGCAGTCTCGACAAAGCCTTCAAATAATTGTAACAGAGAAAAGAAAGAGAAGAGGAAAAACATCAGAATTATTTCAAAGCATAACTGTTTTTTCTTTGGTTGGTAAACTACCCATAGGACGCAGTCCCAACTGCTTTAAGCTAAGTCTGTGCCACTACAGACACAGGTAGTTCTGTACCATTCCTGCCTTCACAGCCCTGCTTTTAGCAACCTCTTTCCTGCTAGCAGGAAGGAAAAAGATGAGGTTGAACAGCTACAATCATTGCAGAGATTTTGGTCATCTGAACACAGTAGCGAGAAGGCAGTCTTAACAATGACACTTACTGCGTAGTCTAGTAAATATCTGTGATTTCAAGTAACCAACCTCTTGCTCATGAACTACAAACATGCTGAAGTCTGCTAGTAATAGCTGGGAATTTTAAAATCAAAATTCTTAACAGTGACACTAGGAAGTTCCAGGATTCTGCAAGTCCAGATCCCGACAGGCTGTTAACAATTGACACAAAACAACCTAAATTCACTACTGTTCACCTCACATAGTCATTTTAACTTTTTTGAGTAGTACTTTACAGCATGGCCTAAAAAAAAAAAAAATAATAAAAGCAACATCAAAAAACCCAGGGCATAAGATGGAAGTTCAGGACACGGGCTTTTTACCAGATTTGTATTTAAAAAGCATTATCAGTATTACCTTTTTGGCATCCATGTCCCCCATTAACATGGCAGTTTTCTTTTTCTTATCAAAGTTGGGCATTGAAGGCAGTCTTGAATTATGTACATCACTATGTCTGAACTTTATGGCAAATATGCAATTATGCAGGAGATAAGTAAATTATGTTTGGTTTATAGTTTATATATAAATGCACGCACACTCTAGACAAGGCCTTGACCAGTCTCAACTCATGTAAGTTTCCCACACTCTCTGCAACAGGTTGGATCAGATGACTTCTACAAGCCCCTTCCAACCCACCTTTCTTATGATTCTACAGAAGCGTTTGTTTTATCAAATCCTTCAAGCACCTCCTGAAACAGAACTCTAATATTACATTGTTCTGCATTTTGTTTTCCTGACACCGAGTACTAGATGATGTGTAAAACATTTTAGAGCACAACTGGTAATTCAGAAAAGCGCTTTGCTAAAATGTTCAATAATAAACTCAATACAAACCTTCACAGCCGCATTTTCACTGGGAAAGGTAGCAAAAGCAGTATGTTTCTAGAAAACAAAAAAAAAAATTGTCATACTGAATTCAAATCAACAAGGTAAGAAATTGCATGTAAAACATATACCCACAAGTAAAGCATAAGTTCAAGTTTACATATTTGAAAGCCTCCAGACAGTAGTCATCTAACTCCCATGTGGGGCAAAGGTGAAGGACTAGAGAACATTTTTCTTAAGAATTTAGGACAAGCACCTTCTGCAGTCAAAAATTAAGACAGGAATTCAGCAGTTTGAGGAATACAAGAAAACAGGTTTTGCGCTTTTTTTTTTTTTCTGGTAAGCAAAAGCCATTCCAAACTGCAAGAAAGTACATTTGATGAAGAAGTTTAATCCTCTTTTCAAAAAAGGAAATTTATTTCAGCACCTCTCAGCAGAACATTTTCATCAAAGCAACCCCTAAAAGTAATACTTTTCCTGCCACAAGAGTTGTAACTATTGTTGTGTTCTGAAAGTTTGGATGGTTTCTAAGCAACATTTTCCCTTACTTTTTAAGTCTTTTTTAAATTTAAGCTTTCCAAATTACATCACATCCTCACAGAATACAAAGTTCATCTTAAATTTGTTTTAACAAACTTTATGACTTCATCTTGCCACTACATGATTCAGTATTGAAAACCCAAAACATTGATACTTTTATAAAAGCAGCTATCAGGAAAACTATTATAACAAAGTCAGTGTTTCTAATATCCCATAAAAGAAAGCATGACACTGACACAAGATGTGGTCATTATTTATCTGCAGTTCTGCAGGAATACAAGGATCTTTCCAAACAGTATTTGTCACCAGACACATATTGCTATGCTTCTGTAATTTGGAGGAAAAATAAAATTAAAAAAATAAAGATTTCAAGAGACAGACCTGTGAAACTGCATCCCCACACCTACCAACAGACCCTTCTGCACTGCTTTTCCACAGCCTTATTCCTAACAACAACGAGGCCAAAACTGAGGCCAAGGCCCCAGGACTTGCAGCCGGCGGTGAGACGGGACCCTGTGTCAGACGCTCTCCCGACCACCCCGCCTCGGCCCAGCGGTGCTCTCCCGGCGCG